ATTGTCTTCAAAAATATTTTAAATTTACAACCATCGATGTTTATAAAGAGCTACTGTATAACATAAACAGTTGTAAATCTAAAATATGATAGAAAATAATTTTTAAATGAAAGTATAGTAATAAATAAGTAAAGATACTACATTTCGAACATTTAATGATTCGGTAGAATAATGTATTTTCTTAATTACTTGATAAGTCATTTATATAGATTAATTACTTGATAAATTTTATTTTTAATTTAAAAATATATAATGAGAATTGATTTTTCTTCTTCTCATCTTTGTTTGATTCTCTCATCGATTTTCTTCTTCTCATCTTTGTTTGATTCTCTGATCAATTTTTGTTAAATCATCTCATCATTTATATTTAAATAGTTATTTCTGCATATAATTCGAATTTATCAAAAAAACAATTTTACTTAATTAAGTAATTGGATGTTAAAGACGTATCCAAAATAATTGAGAAGGTATTTAAGTGATCGCATTACCCGTGCCTAGTCGACCTAAATGACTTTTTAAAAAAAGATGATGATCTATTGTTCTTAAAAACTCTCTCGCAAGATATACAATTGACCAAAATAATATTTTTTGTTATATTCCGGGTATGCAATTTCTAAATTTAAACTCACACAAATATCTAAATACAAAATAAATAATTTAGCAGAGAAATAAACAATCAAATATTCTTTTTGTAAACAAAACAAGTAAATCCTTTTAAATTATTTATCGTCCTTCTAAATTATTTGTCAATAAAAAATTTCAAATTTTAAGCCATTATTATTTGAATAAACTGGTTCATAATTTTTAGAAAATAAAATTTGTATTTATTATGACTATTTGATTTTAATGATGAAAGTATGTCATTATTAGTATTTGAGCCTAGAAAGCCTTTAATATCACGTGAGTTAAAAAAAAATGTATGTCATTAGTAAAAAAAGATATAGATTGACAACAAAAACTTTTCACATATTATATCTTGATATGAATGGAAACATATCATTTTCACGTATGGAATAAATAATAATCACATCGTTGGGGACAGTTTGGAAAAGAAAAAAACTTTAAAAAGAGCATTTTAAAATTTCCCCAAATTTATCTACTAATATGTTTAACTAAATTGGGGTATTATCTATTTGGATGCGATGTCCTTCCTACAAATAAGAATGTGATACAAATTTCTAAAAAGGCGAGCTACTAAGATTTGTAGCCTTACAGAATGGTCACTATACGGCTGCGTAATAGAACCTTCATAAGGTTTTAGGACGAGGCCATGTCTCAAGCGTTTTCGGTATGTGGATGCTCGATTAATTTTTAATATATTTTACGTATTTTACCTTCTATATATAGAGTAAACATATAGACTAGATGATTGATTGCTAGGATTAAGAATGATATCTTATCTTCAGTGGTCTCGATTATAGGAGAAATCGTGAAAATGATATCTCATCTTGAACTATGTAATAATTTCTTTATTTATAGATCCATCTGAAACAGTAAAACAAACACGAAATCAAACTAATTTAGAGATTGGAAACTAATAACCTATGAAATGGAAAGACTTTGTAAATCATTTTACCTTTGCTTATGTGAAATTACCAAGCTATGATGTGAGTCTGAGTGTGATATTGTGTTTTATAAGATGAATTGACGATATTTGCAAACGAAATTTAATTCTGTAAAAAAGAAGTGAGAAAAGGATCAATGTAATTGATTTATCATAAAATAGAATAACAAACATGATAGAACAACAAAAGCGAATCAAAGTCTATTAATGACTACATGCATGAATCCTAATCGAGGACTTATCTTTTTGAAACATCAAGTTTCAAAATTTTCTTTCGAGAAATCGTGATAGTCTGCTCAACTCGGATCATATAACAGTCGATAAAAAAAGTCAATGTCTATCACATACAACATAAAAGGAATTAAGGTATATGAATCATAATTGAGAATAAGAATTAAAGGGTTGAGAACTCTTTATTGTTATTAATCGAAGATGTCAATTGATTCATTATTTAAGAGTGAATCCAAAACAATTACCGTTTTTATAGCGACCAATCAAAAGTAGTAGATTGAAGCGAGTTGTTAAGATAACTAAACATGAAAAAATATATGTAGTCAATTAGACATAAACAAAAAGGACAAAATGGAAGATTATTAAACCATCTTAAAAATTAGGTGGTAATACCAAGTTACCAACAACCAAAGATAGGCAATTCCTCTTAATCGTTTTTTTAACTAGTGAATCCAATCACTGGAAAAATGTATCTAACACAAACAAATAAACACATTACAATCTAAAAAAACACTATGGGTGTTTTCATAGGACACTCCAACGCTCAAGTCAGTAAAACAAACTACTGAAATACTTGGTCAAAAACCAAAGAGAATTGAAAACACAAGAAAAAGTGACTAGACAACATTAATTTAGAAAGAAAGAGTGATCGACTATGTTTTCATATATTTGACCGGAGATTTGGTGAAAAAAAGAGAGTAAGAAAATAGTGTTTATGTGAAGAGGATGCCTGTAAAACAGTCGGAAAAGGAGGTTGCGATGGGGTATCAAGGTCGAAGAAAAATTTATATTTAAAGACAAGAGAAAGACGTACAATATCGAAAGTGTTTTCTTGTATAAATTAGGTTAAAACTTCAATTAAGTGAATAATTTTCCATCTCCTTCTCGTAAAGAGAAAATTTCTATTTAGGAACATTACATTATTACTATCTCGGGATAAAATATGAAGTCGAGTGGGATCCTATTTGGTTGATCGATACAAAGATCTTGATTGTCTTTTACATTTTTTCCTTGTTTAATTTGCCAACTAGTTGACAAGCTAATCAGGTAGCAATGTGAGAACGGGGAGGAAGTGCACATAGTCCATATGAGTTGTATCTCAGATTCATTGCTTGTGTAGAGCTCCTAGAGTTCTTATTCTGTCTATTTTTTTTGTCTTTACGAGAGGTGTATAAAACAAATTTCTTGATCTTAACATTATTAGGTTTGAATCCCACATGTAAAGCAATATAAAAATTGTGATTTTTAGTATTTTGTTAAGTGTTGACAAACACATAAAAATATCTTGTGGTGATCAACAAGACTAGTAAACAAGTCTATCAACCTTACATGTAAAAGTGCACTAGTCAAATAACGAGGATGAGATTTGTCGGTCGAGAGTATAATTGATGGTCAATAAACAGTGGCGATCATGATGTTATTAGGGGTATCAAAACCAAATTTAACTGGTGTTTAGCTATGTGGTCTCACACCATTGGGGAAATCAGTATTACATTTTACTTTGTGATTGAGAAAGACTCATATATTGGTTGGTATATATGGGCTAAAATAGCTACCGAGGATATTTAGGACAGATTGGTCATAGATAAACATGAGTAAAAGAACTAAATGATAGGAACACGGTGTTGCTATTTAGCGGCATGTACATGAGGGCTGCTATTTAACAATAGAAACAATAGTCGACGTCTATTGTTTCTACATGGGATTTAAACGTGTCCTTTGTCAATGTGCAGTTTTGTGCCTTCGGAAAGACAATATATGCGGTGGTTGCTAGTTAACTATATATAGAATAGCGACAACTGCTCTTTATTCAACCGATGCTATGAAGCTTGAGCATAGTCATAGTTTTGGTAACAAAATTGTCGTTTTTAGTAGGTCGCCATCTCTTTGCCATTTTTGTAACTAATTGTCTATTAGGGATTTACCCAAGTCGGTCTGTTACCATTTTTTACAATTTTTGTAGTATATTCTCTTAAATTTGAAAATTGTTTTAGAGTTTATACACGACCTCACAACCTCTATAAGATTAATGTTTTAGGTAATATCAATAAGAAACTGTAGCTTTATTGTTTTCACATTTATAAGAGAAAGGTAGAAATCTTCATTTACAAAATGACATTTATAGTTTGAGGTTTTTTTTTTTTTGTCATCCGAAATTAATTAGATATCAAAAGAGCCATTCCTGGGGAATGTTGTTTACAAATGTGATATGAAACGGTTCTGTACGAACTTTTCGTGCCAGATGATCCGCTTTTACATTAGCATTACGAGAAATTAAAGATAAAGAAAAGGTTGAGAATTCTTTCTTGTCGCTCTGAAATTCCTCCAAGTACATTGAAAACGCCGGCCATTCGGTTGGAGAAGACATCATCTTCACCAGATCAGAACAGTCTGTAAGGAACTCTACCTCTTGATTATCTGCACCAATCATACATTTCATCGCCCAGAGAAAAGCCTCGAACTCGGTATGTAATGGAGATAAACTTCAAAACAAAATTCATGTTAAATAAGGTAGAAATCTTCATTTACAAAATGACATTTATAGTTTGAGGTTATTACTAACGATGTCAACTATCAAAACAAAATTCATGTTAATAATCAATTAGGTGGGTGATTGGTTGGACGTAACTATAAATTTTTTGCTATAGGATTTTTGTTGTACATGTGTTGGCTGTAGAGGTAGATTTTTTGTCTGTAACTATTTTAACTATAAAGCTTGATTGGTAAAGTACTAAAGTTAGTTAAATATTTTGGATTCAAATTTTAAGTTTATCAATTTAAAATTTTTACAATATATTAAATAAGATAATAAATAGTAAATTTCATAGATATAATAGTATAATACACAGTTTGGTCAATTATATATATTTTATTTACATTAGTAAAAATATGTAAAATGAAAATTTTGTCTTATGTTTAAAGTACAACGTACTCATATAATCTTATGCTTGAAAAAGTTAAAAGTAATTTCTAATCCGTTTGATGATTATGTCATTTATTCCACAAATTGTTTTTCATTTTCCGGTGCTCTACGATCAAAACCATAAATTAAAGAAAAATAAAACTAAACAAACACAAAAATTTGGATCCAAAATTACGGTTGGGACATCTCCACATTTATGGCGGCATTCAATTGAATTGATTGCCACGCATTTTTCCAAAAAAAATCCCCTATATAAAAATCCATTTAATACTAGCTTAACACATAAATGAAATCTTTCTCCTACATAATCTGTGAATCTTCTTTCCATGTTTACACTGTTAAAAAAGCAACTTCAACTAATCCCGTTTTAAATACAAGTTATCTACTCTCTCTTAGCCATAACATAAGAAAAGTTTCTTTGGCTTTATAACTTTTTTATTTTATTTTTTTGTAATGGGAAACGAAGCAGCACTAAGATCATCTATGGTAGGTCTTGCAGTGGTGATGGTGGTGATATGGTTATGGACACAGTCTTTAAAGAAGACTGTTGTTACTTATGCCGTCGGTATTTCGCTTATCGGCGGCATACTTTTGCCGGATTGGGACTTCTTTGATCGGAGTTTCTCTCGGTGGGGATATCCTGTCACCGCCGAGGAAAGAGCCGCCGCTCTAGCCCGCAAATCTCATCCTTCAAGGTTACTTATTTAATCTTATCTCAATATCAAACTATGTAGTTGTTTTATCTATATATGAATATATTAATTTTGAATTATTAGATCTAAAATTTGGTTTAGATTATTGTCTTAAAACCCATTGGATAAACATAAACCATACGTTCAATGTTAGGTTCCATTTGTAATGTGTATGTACACCAATTTTTGGTTTAGTTTAATAGCCTAATGGTTCAACCCTTTTTGTTTTTTTTTTAATAATGGATAAATCTTTGGAACATATAAACAATAATGTATAATTTTAGGATCAATTTGTAATGTGTGTATAGCTACGAATTAGGTGTACAAGTTATGTATAATTCTAAGAAGATTGATTTCTATTTATTTTTATGTAAACTATATGCAGGTTTAGAGTGTACCCTATGAGGATGGTTATATACGGTACGGTCTATGGATATGCAGTGTATAGGTGGTGGATGTTCGTGTCAAATTATTGAAGCCATATTGTATCACTTTGTCTATCTTTCTGTATGGTTTATATTGATTAACAAAAAGACATTTTTTCTTGAGAAAGTGGCATTAGTGACAAAAATTCTTATTTTAACTGTGTAGAACATGTAAGACGTCCAGATTACATATTGGTGTGTCCCCATAAGATGGACCAAAATTGTCAAATGGATAGTTGTCTACAAAATTGACCCAAAACAAAACTCCTAGAGACTCTAAATGAACATTCTTTCACCAAATTCTATCGCACATCAAAGATCTTCAGGTTAAAAGTTGACAACTTTCAAGACTTCTCAAATTTTCCGATAACGTATGTTTTACCCTCCGAAGTCGGTAAATTAGAGAGTGAATGTCTCTAGGTTGTTTCGCAAGGAGGAGGAAGAGGAGGAGGAGGAACACCGAAAACCCAATCTAGCACGTTTAAGTATTTTGATCGAAATACTTCTCTTTCCTGTGCGTAACAATGCATTATAATGGCTGTTGAAACGCTAAACACAACCACATCTGCTCTTCTTAGACTCTTGGGCGGTCGAATGTATCCTGCATCTGTCATGCAAGTGAAGAAGCTCTCTATTGCCCTCGCTAAGCAGTAGAGTGATATCTCTATCCTTCTGCTTTTCTTCTCAATAGCTAAAGCCAGACCTGTTGGGAACTGCAGGAAAAAGCCTAACGTTAGTATACTATTGACATGATATGTGATGAGAATGGATTTCGTTTGTACCGTTGCTATGGCCACAAGCGGTATGTTGCATGTCTCAAAAGTCCGGAAAAGTAGGCAAGTCCAAGCCCTAGTTTACATCATTAGAGAAATGGTCTAAGTTTCAACTTCAAGTGAGAACAAAAACAAAAAAAACAAAAAAAATCGATATAGTTAATGTATGAAATTAAGAGCTTTTCAAGAATTGATTCTAACCAGGCAGAAGAGCAGTAAGTAGCGAGAAACAAACTTGATCTTGCTGTGCCCAGAAGACCCTTGCCAAGTATAGAGTATTGCCTGTGAGATTGGATATTATAAGGTGATGAATAAAATCAGAGCATATAGAAACTATAAACCATTCAATGAGCAGTTTAGACATAAATCTATTACTTTTTTAGCAGGTCTTGACGATGAACGATTAGCGCTGGAATCAAATAGACAGGGACATAGACAGGTAACGCCCTCTTGTAAGCTTGAAGGAAAAATGTAATACCATGCTTAACACATGACTCATTTCCATGTATTATCTGCAAGTAACAACATAAGTATTGAGTAAAACTTTTGTACAACCATGCATGCAGACTCATTGACGATACATCAACTATCGACAAATGCTTTGTTCGTCTTAACAACCATTATAAAGTAATGCTTGCTACTGATAGTACCATAGAACAAAAGATACTAAAATAAACATACCGAACAGGGGACTTTCATGTTAGGATCTAGTTTGATATCAACTCCAACAGACTTGTAATATTTCTCAATCGCTCTTAGATTAGTGAACGGTTGGGCGCTTGCGATATCTTTTACGCCTTGTAAGATAGAAAGATCCTTCCCACCTTGTTTGTTAAGGAAAGACTTGTACGATGAAGGAAGACTTTCTTGTTTCAAAATGTAAGCAGACCTAAAAAAAACCCAAAATCGCTAATCTAAAAATAAACACTAAAACTTTACTAAGTTACTATCTTTGTAGAGAGAAAGAGAACATACAAAATCTGTGAAGATGAGAGACACATGAGAAATAAATCGCCATGTTTCCAAGTAAGCGGCTTGCATATGGAACCAAACCGTTTACTTTTAATACCGCACCGCGATGCAAGAACCGCAGCACGCATCAATATATAAACAGCCAAACTCGTATGTTGCGTATTTGGCCCTGTGAGAAGCATAGATGGTCCAGCCACCAATCCAGCAAACAGGGCCCTCCACTTTGCAGTTCTGGATTCAGATAAATTACTTCACAGTGATCAAATCTGAAGAAATTGATATTATTTCACTACTTTTGGTTTTAAATCTAAAAAATCACAAAACAAAACAAAAAAGTTCCAAGATAAGTGGAGACAACATGCCTCTTGTCTCCTGCTAAAGCAGCAATAGCTTCATCTACTGAAACAAAAGTCCCAGCAAAAGTTCCTAAGAACAATCCATATCTTAATGTCTCCTTAATCCCCATAGCAATAGCTTCACTATTCGAAAACTCTCCGGTTTTCCTAAACCGATAACGATCAGATTCCAGATCAGATGAACTAAACCGGAAAATTGAAAAAATCTAAAGGTGAAAATTCGATTTCGATTACCTCGATTGAAGAGAAGATCTACGGCGACGAGCGAAACGAGCGACGATTGAGAAAATCGCTAATCCACCTTTTAAACCAGTACCTATAGTGAATCCTTTGACGGAAGCGACGATGATTCTTCGAAGCTTCTCTGAATCATTAACCGATTTCGATTTAGATTTCGAATCGGAATTTTTGCATTGTTTGCATGTAAACTCATCCGATTTACGGAAATCGTCGCCATATATGTCACCAGAGATGCATGATGAGCAACGAGAACCGTTCGTCGATTCGCCGGAAGGCGACATGACGACGGCGGAGAGAATCTCCGGATTGCGCCAAAAGTGATAGGTAAGCTTTGGTGGGAAATTGGGAATTGGCTTTTGAATAAAAAATACAAAGAGGAAAGAGAGAACCAGAAAAGAAGAGAAGTTTGGGAGAGTGACGAAGACAGCGAAATTTGTAGATTTAGAGAGCCACTAAGGATTATCCAGTTGTCAAAGTGACTGACACGTGTCGGTTTTGGTTTGTTCTTTTTCTCCTTTGTGAATCTTTTGATTCTCTTCTGCTTTGGGAACCGGAATGATTTGGAGTATGGGTTTGTGGAAGGCCATGGGCTTATTTTATGGGCTTGAAAGCAGACAGGATAATATTAAAAACTTGGAACGTTACAAAAAAAAAATACGAATATTAAAGAGCTGGAAATGGAAACGTGGAAGTTCGCTCGGTCCGTGGTTGAGCAAAAGTTCATTAATATTTTTGTATTTAGATCTGGGATTTGAGTCTTAAAAAATACAGTTTTTTTTAGATTAATGGTGTAAAATTTATCGGAGATTCAGAGTGTCGCATGCAGAACCGTTCGTAGTGGTCTAAGTGTTGCGGGAAAAACTGCACCGTAGAATCGTTGTTCAGGGAAACTGTGCATCATAATCGCATATGATGCAAGTAGTTGAATATCATCGTAATAGAACTAGATTAAATATCTAGTGATGATGTAATAAAAGAACTGAAAATAGAAAAAAAAATTTTAATTAGCCATAATTGTTTTTCCTTTCTATAGTTATGAACTTTATAAATCTATATATATAATTAGAGAGTTTTCTCTCCATCTAGGGTGTCCACATCATCATATAACCCAAAATATGAAAATTTTGAATAGATATTGGATAAATATAAAATTAGATAATTGTATCTTAACATATAATGAGTAAATATTCCTAAATGACAAGAGATATGCAAAAAAGAACTTATCATATATTTATCTATATTTTAGTGATAAAACAATCATTTTTGAGAGTTACAATTATTTTATAATTAAAATAAAAAGCAATTCATTTCTGATAAATAGAAATTTAAAATTTGAGTAGCAATTAAAAAATAAGAAGGATCAAGGACATATTATTATTTATAATTATAATATAATATAAATATTTAAATTAATTATTTTCTATATTATTAATGTTTTCTAAATTAAAAAGTGGTGCTTTGTTTTTTTTTTTATAAAATGAATACCTATAAAAGAAAAACTAAATATTAATCAATGTTTAGGAAATTAACATAGATTAAAAAAAACTAAGGTGATTTGAAATAAAACAAAAACTATCCTAAACATCAAAAATAAAACTAAAATAATCTTATCGAATAATAAAACTGTGTAATAATAATATTTCAGAATGCTATTTGAAAATTAGAATAGTAATTGTAGATTGAAGAGTTTTTTTTAATAAATATATTTTAAAATTAGAATAATTTTTATGAGTTCGTAAGTATCACATTTAGAAAAATCAACATTAAGAATACTATTTTTAATCGTAATATATGTTAAATTATATATGTAGAAATTCTTTTTTTACTTTTCAAATGGTCAAGATAAAGTGCAAAATTTTACGTTGAAACCTATGTTTGTTAATAGGATTGAGTCCATATGTGAGATTTGTTGTCTATGAAGCAATTTTAGATGCACCAAAACATGGTCAAAGAAACGTTATGACAAACATCTCCCAAGAGTAGATACGATCTAAGGGAAAACAAATAAATTAAATCCCGCGCGTTGCGCGGGTACACAATCTAGTATGGTTAATTGAAGAGTTTTGGATCTGATTCCAGAGTCCATATTTTTTATTTGGGTTGAAATTTCTTTTTTATTAGTACTGAACTAGTATAGAAGACCCATGCACCGCATGGGTTTAATACTATATTATGTTTTAGCTACTGTTTTGTTTAATATTTTGAAGTGTTTATTCTTTTTTAATCACAATTATAATCTGCAAATTTATGATATTGTTGTCAATGTGTTACATACATATAAACTTGTATTATGCATGTTATACAAAAATTATGTTTACTTTTCGGTAAAAGGAATTAATCGAGCAAACGATGAGTTGATCTAGTGGTTAAGCTCCTTGATTACAAAAAATGTAGGGATCTTCGTGTTTACGGGTGGCCGGGTGGGATCCGCGTTGAGAATGATCTATTCTCCAAAAAAAAGGAAAGTTATATTACATGGTCAAAGCCTCGCCATGACGATATGGGCCCATGGATCAAAGCCTCCTAATCATTAAAAAAAATGAATTGATTTCAAAGATTTCAATACATAAAATTTAACATTTATATTCTTCTAAGAAATATTTTCTTAAACTTTTTTTATAAAAATATATAAATTCAATGAATCACATTACTCGGTAATAAAGTTTTAGTGATAAAATTAGTGAAAATGTTGAGAATAATTAAAGATGACTTTAATATAAGTGACAAATGTTTTGAAAGAATATAAATGACAAAAATATAAAATAATTTATTTGGGGATATCGTAGTGGTTTAAATATTAAATTACCTAAAATATTTATAATTAAACACTTATATAAAAACATCTTAGCATTAGTAAAAATAGACGTATGCGGTAAGTATTAAAAGTAATCTAATACTTACCGCATTCGTATGTGTAGTATTTGTTTGCCTCTCTCTTTTTACTGTCTTTTGATTAATTATACATAAGCTATATATAGACTTTAAATCTCTTACTATAATAGTAGTTACTATAAATCTGTATCCTATAAAAATAATAGAGGTCAAATTCTTATAATCACACCATTTAAAGATAAATCTAAATGTTAGAAGATTTGATTAACATCTATGTTGTTTCTCATCTGCAAGTATGCATTTTGATATTTTTTTGAGAAAAAAATATTTCTTTTGAAGATTGTATAGTCGACTTTTTAAAGTCTAGTTGCGCTTAAAATTTTCTTCACTAAAATGTTATTGGTTTTGCTTTTCACAATACTTACATATCCAACACTTAAATAACATGACTAGACTGTTTAGTGTACCTTCTTTTTTTTTTTTGTTATTTTGAGATATTAATTTTGTGATGTAAAAGAAACATCGTCTTACACTCTTATCAAAAAGCTTTAGTGTACTTTAAATATGTTGTTTCAACAAATTTTATTTGGGTTAAAATTATTTTATTCAGTTGATGAAATCTCAAATTTGGTTTTCTTTTGATCATGTTATAGAATTGTAATTCTACTTGAGAATAGACTTTTTCCTAGATATGTTACACAAATTATATATGACTTTTTTTCGGCTTACATATCACTTTTTGTATATTTCGTTATAAAACTCATTAATAATATGACCATTAATTTTTCTTTCTGTTTTTGGGAAGATGGATTATAATATTAAGACATTTAAGATCTTTCTCTTCTTCATAATTTCACAAAGAAGTGTGATCCTTACAATGCCTTTGTCTTAGATTTAAATTTTATTTTGATTTTAGTAATCTTTTAATTTTTCTTAAGTAAAAGTTTTTAAATAAATAAAACTTGTTTTAGTATATTGTTTTTAGAAACTAATGTTTGACGTACTTGAAATTTTGTTTTCTGTTTAAAATTTAATAAGTAGAGTTATATAAATTATTTTTTACGATACAATGCATTTAATCTTACTTATATTATAAAACTCATCAACACATTCAAAAAAATGAATATCACTTTTAATATTATTTTCTAAAAATTTGAATTATATTATTATTTCTAATACAATTTTCATAGTATTGTTTTTAAAAATATTTATAGTATATTCTTTTTAGAAACTAATGTTTAACTTTAAATTTTATTTCCTATGTAAAATTATTTCAAGTAGAGTTACAGAAATTATTTTTCATATACCATGCATTTAATATTATTTCCATTATATCATAGTATTATTTTTACTATTTGAAATTTCATTTATTTTCTTTAGTTGGTTTTTTATTTAATTAAAATTTATAGTAATTATAAGTAACATAATTATGCATTAAATGAATTTTAAAGATACTTTAATGTAAAAATAATAGTTTTATTTAGGTGGATGCTTAGGTGGACACCTTAAGGGGAGAGAAAACTCTCTAATTATATATATAGATCCGCTTTTCTTTTCGTTTTGTGCAAACTAATTGTATTGAATCCAAAATAACACAACTTTATTTTTCTTTTTGGAATGTGTATTGCCAACCAAACATCGTCTTGTTAAATATTTCTTCAACAAATATTGATAATACATGTGTCATCATAAAAAAAACTTGAATTATTTAATTTCATGAATCCAACAAATATCAATATTATAATTAAGGGAATTTATACAAAGTAACCATGGATTCAAAAAGAATATACAAACTAACCATGAGCTACATTAACATATCGGTTGTGAAGCCCCGACCCATTTTTTTTTTAAACATAATTAAATATTCCCGTAAATACTTAATTAAATCAACCGATAAAACAACCGCAACCAGCAAGTCTAAATGCAATTTATTAAAAATAAACAATCCAACCACATAACCAGAAATAACCATCAATCCTAACATAGTTCTAAAACGGATTCAAGCAACATAATAAAACACAATCAAACGAGTTCCTAGATCATCCTCTCTTCCTTGCAATGATTCCACGTCACACTTTTTCTTTACCTCGATTTAGGATTGATTTAAGACAAAGAACATCAGAATCTAGCACCACCACGACCTTCTCTCAACCCACGGCCGCTGATCTGCTTCTCCTCCTCTTGCTAACACCAAAAACAAGCTTTTCTTCTCTCCTTAACTCACTCAAACCCTTCTCTTTCCTCTCTAGAACAACCACATAGCCCACTCTCTCATTCTCTCCTCTCTGGAACGAAAAAGCACTCAAAAAAGAGAGAAAGGAGGCTGGGTTGTGTTTAAAACGAGATCTAGGGTTTTCCAAATCAATTCCTGACTAAACCGGCGATTTAAAGTGAACCGGTCAAACCAGAATTTATTGGTGTCGAGCGACACCATCTGGTGTCGATCGACACCACCCGCCATTCTGGGTTCGGGATGTTACAATTCTCTCCCACTTACAGAGATTCGCCCTCGAATCTTATGATACAGTCCATCCGAAATGGCCTCAACCAACGATCGCTCAACTCTTGGCCAACCTGGCCA